ACCCTATTGCCCACAATTGGAGCGGTCATATTGGTGCAGTTCCGACTTGGTTGGAGCCGCACCGATTTCTAAATTAGTGGAAGCATTACTTTTGGTGCGATTTGCATAGACATCTCTGTCAGATGTTTTGCAAATCGCACCTGAAATCGGCGGTTCACCCGACTTTGAAATCGTAACACTTCACTGTAAGTGGCACGATTTCAAAGTTGGGCTTGATGTGACCGGAAGCTTATGTTCACCTGTAGATCAGATGGATCCCCTGTCAGTGGTAACAGCGCGCTGCTAGAGGCGTACATTTTTAGGCAAGTTTGTTATGAGCTTGTGGGGGGACCAGTTTATTTGTTTTTACTCAGTGTAGCTTTTACCACTTTAACCACTCGCTCTCCTGAGGATTTACCCCCCTTCCTAACCAGGCCATTTTTTGTGTTACGGTGCTGCGTTACTTTAACTGACAATTGCGCGGTCATGCAATGCTGTACCCGTCTTTTTTTTCCCACGAATTGAGCTTTCTTTTGGTGGTATTTGATCGCCTGTGTGGTTTTTATTTTTTGTGCTATAAGCAAAAAAATACCGACAATTTTGAGAAAAAAACAATATTTTGTAATTTTTGCTATTAAACATGTCTAGTAAAAAAAATAAAAAAATCTAATTTTGTCATAAATTTAGGCTAAAATGTATTCTGCGACATGTCTTTGCTAAAAAAAATCCCAGTACGTGTAAATTAATTGGTTTACATGAAAGTTATAGTGTTTAGAAATGGCAATAGATACTGGGATTTTTTTTCCCTACTAGTAATGGTGGCAATCAGTGACTTTTAGCAGGACTGTGTGACTGCGACGGGCATTTTGACACTGGGGGGGGAACTAACTTGGTGGCACTGACATCCCCAGTGTCACCAATACAGTGATCAGTGTGGGCAGGAAGGGGTTAATGTGAGGGTCGATCAAAGGGTTAACTATGTGCTGGGAGTGTTTTACTAGGGAGCAGGGGGGGTGTGCTTCACTGTAAGCACACTGATCAGGATGGCTGTACTGTGCACAGCCTTCCCGGGCAGTGTGCCTGAGCTGACAGGGAGGAAGACTGTAAACAAAACAATCTTCCTCCCCGTTGGTGATTGTCGGTAATCACCGGGCACCAGCAGGTAATCACTGGCTGGGATCTGGTGTTTGACATCTATGGCCATGAACGGTAGGGCGTGTGTGAGGCTTGCGCACGCCCCCTACCCAGAAATGCGAAATCACGTATATATACACACATGATTTCACGCACCCGTGTAGCAGTATATCTGCTATACGGTGGCGGGTAAGCGGTTAACCAGTTCCGTGGCACCCTATAGCAGAAATATTACTACAGGGCGGCATGGGTGTACAAAATCATGTATATATACGTGATTTTGCAGTTTCGGCCTCGGCTGTCAGTCACAGCTGGTGATTACTCGCCGGCACCTGGTGATCGCCAAGTATCTCCGACGGGGGAGAGACCTGTGTATAAAACAACACAGATCTCTCCCCTGTCAGCTCCTGCACACTGCTTTGTATGGCTTTGCATAGCACAGCCATACAAAGTAGTGTGAAGGCTACTTGACCCCCCTCCCTCCTAGGTAAAGGGAGCCTTGACTGCTGGAAGCTTGGCAGCTACATGTGAGTAAACCTAAATCAGGGATATTAAGTGGATCCAACAGGATTGGCCACCAAGACATGAAGTGACTGGGTGGAGCCTGAACTATAGAAAAAGGCTACGCAGGGGCATGTTCCACTACTCTGAGGAGATTCAGACATCACAAGAGTTGCCCACCCTCCCACCTGTTGTGAGTTTCGTCACAACTTTATTGGCGGTTTTACCTTGCCAGCGATTGATATTGCTTTATGGGCTATGCCCTCAAGTTTAATTCTGGGGTCAGTTTAACACCTTCCTGCCCGGCCTATAACAGATTGACGGGGGGGCGAGACACTCGCCGGTGTGACTGTGCGTCATATGACGTCCTGTCAAAATGAGCCGCTCACGCTGGCTGCGGGGCCGCGTAGCGGCTTGATCTGTCACCAGCTGTGTCCATGGGACACAGCCAATGACATATCACTACACTGGCCCCTTGCCAGTGACCAATCACAGCAAATCACATGTCAATTGTATACATTGGATGGCTTCCTGTCATGCCATCCATTGTATACAATTATGTTGTTAGCTGTGACTGGTCAAGGCAGTCACATGATACAAACAGGGCCAATCACAGCCCTTCTGTATCATGTGATCAGCTTTGCCCAATCACAGCTAATCACAGCAAAAGACTGAATGAATCAGTTTAATTCAGTAACATTGATTGAAAATATCAATGAAATACATTTGTATTAGCAATCATAATAAATTTAAAAAAATCATGATCACTTGCCCAGAGTAGTTCAGTGTTACTCTGGTAACATTTATATTGCTTTGGTCACAGTGTGCTGAAAAATAAAATAGTAAAAAAAAAAAGAAAACATTTTATAAAAAAAAAAATATTGAAACATTTGAAAAAAAATACAAATTCAATTATCATTATTATTATTTTCACCAAAGAAATGTAGCAGAATACATTTTGACCTAAATTTATGAAGAAATGTTATTTATTTGCAAAATTTTTATAACAGAAATGAAGAAAAGTGGTTTTTTTAAAAAAAGTTTCAGGTGTTTTTTGCAATTATTTTAGTAAATATAAACTGCTAAATATCATTTTCTCATCAGCAGTATATAGCAATCTTGTGACTTCATTCATTGTCCAGCTGAGCACTGGTTAAAGCTTGTAGGTGGAGTTTTCATTCTTCTCTGACTGTCCTATGAGGCTACATAACCCCTGACCATTTGTCTTGACAGTGCTGATTGGTCCTATGCTGATCACATGTACCCTTCCAAAGAAAAAAAAACATTCTAGCAATACACATGTAACACTACCCCTTTAGGAGTCACTAGAAGATTTAGGTCTCCCTATAGCACTGCACAGCTAGGCATCATACATCTTCACAAAAGCTTGCATCCAGAGTCAGAAATCAGTCCTTGAGCTTTGGTTTTGTTGTTTTATTTAGGGGATTTAAACTGGGATAGGGTTAGTTGTTTACAGGATGCATAAGGGTACTGATAACTGAGGACAACTTCCTGGAACTATTTACAACCTTCTCTTCTTCCACTCAGATTCACCCACTGCCTCTAAGGCCTTCCTCCAAAATCCCTAGAGCAGGGGGAAATTCCAGAGGGGCTGGCCTGCAGAGCTTCCCAGCCCTGACCACAATTTGACCCCTCTCTGGCTATTACACCTAGGCTGCTGCTCAGTCCCTGTCTAACCAATGGAGTCTAGCTCCCCCTAGCTAAGCTAGGAGGACTCTACACACACTAAAATGAGCATGTGCAGAGTAACTCGTAGAGCTCTATACTATCAGCAAATGGATTGGGGACAGTAGAAGAAGGGGAGGGTCAGAGAAGACAGGCCTTTTTTTACACAATGCAGAGGATTGACCCCTTAGGTTCCACAGTGAGTATAACAAGCATGCTTTACTGCATATACATATTGATTTTACTGTTGTGGGTTTAGTAACACTTTAATTGTTTGCCAAACTGTTACTGTTAAGGCATGCCGTGATTGACAACTGTCACATTTGATTTGCCGTCAACCAAACTGTCTGGTTGGTTACATTGCACCCATGTGACTCTTGGTAGCCATCTTGGGTCAGTGGGGTCTATTTAGGTCCTTGCCCCCAGGTTTTGAAGCGCTTCTGGCATATGGCTATTGTAGAGAGAGAGACCCCACTGGTTAGGGAAAGTAACTAGCAAGAGGGAAAGTTTAACAAATTGGTGGGGACTGGTTATCCTGGAAAGGAACTTGGTCAGGATCAATGGTATCCTCTCTGCTGAGAAATACGGGCAGATACTTATCCATCATGCCATACCGCCCCCTAAATTTGTTCTGAAGCAGGACAATGACCCCAACCATGCAGCCAATGTCATTAATAACTATCTTCAGTGTAAAGAAGAACAAGGAGTCTGGTTTTGCCCCAACAGAGCCCTGATCTCAACATCATGGGGTCTGTCTGGGATTACATGAAGAGACAGAAGGGTTTGAGGCAGCCTACATGCAAAGAAGATCTGTGCTTAGTTCTCCACAGAAGCAGAATTTATGTTATAAAAAGAAAAGTCAACCCCTTGCTGCCCACTCTATGCATTTATCCTTTTCACTGCCAGGTCCTTATGGCCCTACAACACTGCTTCCAACAGGCCAGGTCCATACGCCATACGAACCTGTATTCCTCTCTGCTATAAGTTCATGGTCACTTAAGTGGCCATGAAATTATAGCAAAAATGTTCAGCAGACTCTGCTGAACACAACAATAGCACTGATTAGCAGCTAACAAGCTGCTGATCACAGCTGTTCACCTAAAATGACCCCCCCCCCCCCCCGATACCACCGCCACCTTTTACCATCCCATTTGCTGCTTTCTTTTCTCCTGCAGTCCCTAAAATTCCCACCCTAAAATGCCCACCCCCCTCCACCTGTTTCCTGTCTTCACACCTGTTGTCTAGCACCGATCTTCACTCCCAGCATCAGCGCCACCAAACACCCCCCCCCCCCATCTCTGTGGTTCCGATGCTTCCCTCCAGTGCCTCTCCCACTGACAATTGCACACAAAAAGAAATTTTATCTGCTAATAATGATTTTATTGTATTTTCAGCTAAAATATTGCTTTGATAAACATTTACTTATATATCGTGGGGCCTTAAAAATCATTAGCACCTTCTTTTTATTCTACTGGTCATGTGCTTTCAGAAAATATGATTTGGGGGGGGGGGGGGGCTTTTACAAACTCTGAAAGCTCTATGGGAAAGAGAAAGCTGTAAGGGAAAAAATTTCAAAAAATTATATTATTGGCTCTCTGGCAATACAGGTAATGGTGGAAATATGTGTCAATTTTGGATAATTTCCCTGTTTGTTAAAAATGCTAAATTTTGTATCTAATTGTGTATATCTCCGTTGCAGAACAATTCCAAAATGGGCTCAAGCCATCCTCTTTCCTCTGGAAGAAATCGAATTAGTATTTTTAGTTGGGGAACCCTATTCTGGTGAGATGAGAGGAATAGCTAAAACACTTGAAATTGATGTTGGATATATATTGGCCACAAACCTTGCCTATGAAGCTACAGCGTAAGTAACACTGTAAAAGCTGAAATATATTCTTCTTTTTATGACATATTACAAAAACTCTCTAATTTCTATGTGTATATGTACTCACCAGCAACAGGGCTGTTGTGCAGGAAAAACACTCACCTCTACTTGATTTGTTCCCAAGCCAAGTGAGGCATCACACTCTTGGTGGTGAAAACCACTGCAGAATGTACAGTAAGACGCCAGTGTGAGACCAAAACTATGCTTGGTCAGCAAGTAAAGGAGTGTTACATAGAAGCAGGTGAGTGTTTAACCGTGCCCTGCATAGAGAACCTGCCATAGTGTGACATGGGCCTTAAAGTGTTTTTTTTATTTTTTCCCCCTGAGACACTGTCTTTATTATTTGTTGTCACGTCAGCAACTAAGGTTGGCCATGTATGTTCTGTCAGTGAATCTTTCATATAAGCTAGACCAGTGTTTCTTAGCTTTTTAAATTAGGGACAATTTTAAGGCACCCCTTTAAAATTAGGGACAGTCTTGAGGCACCCCATTGTACAATGTGAAAAACTATTCTAATATTTTTATATAATGCAGCAACATCCATACATGTAGGACACCCAACATTAGAGGTGATTTATTCTTCCAAAGCAAATACACTTTTGCACACTGGTACTGAGCAGTAGTCCCATGTTTCTCTTCTTCCTCAGTTTTTCTCCATCACTGTGATGATGTGACCCCAGCATTAACAGAGAGGGGCAAGGGAGGATGAAACAAGGATGCTGTGCAGGCAACCGACATCCTCATTATCAACTGACGTCATTGGTTGTCAGGATGCCGTTGGCTAGAAGGTTGTAATGGTGCACAAAGAAAACCTGTGGCTGTATGTAACTAAAACGCAGGCTTTTTCCACCCACTGCTTTGCATACAAGTTTAGGGCAATTTTTAGACATTTTGCCAAGGCACCCCTGAAGAAACCTTAAGGCACCCCAGGGTGCCTGGCCACCGTGGTTGAAAAAGGTTGAGCTAGACTAAGAGCTGATTCACACATGTGCAGTGCAGAATGAAGCTCAGGTTTCACAGCTAATTCACACAGTAGTTGTTCAGTGGTTCAGGCCAGGTATACATCAGATTCAGGACAGTAATAGCTCAGGATCTTATCCTGTTCACACATATACGGTTTAGAAACAGTTCCCATAGAAGTCAATAGCCTGTAATCCGCAGCTGAACTGGACCGTACTGCTCAAAAATCGTACAGGACTCTTTTACAATGCACACTGAATCCGCATCGCCAGTGCACCGGACATATGTGAACATGCACCATAAGAAGCAATGTTATTTCACTTGTCATGCAGATTGAATGCGGTTCAAACTGCATCCAATCCACATATATGTGAACCGGCACTTAAAGTGACTAAGCCGGAAAGAGGAGAGCCGGTAATCTTTCAATCGATTTGACGAAGACCATTGGGACAATTAGAGCAAATTAAGCTCCCAGAGAGCAAAAAAAAACTTGACAGATATTCTAAACGTCTATTAAATGCCCTCATTCTATCCAGCATTTTGGGTTTTTTTAAATGTGTGCTATTAGATTAATTTTAATCCAAAATGAATATGAAAATACAGCTGTTAATCTTTAAGCACATTTAAAACCTGCGTACACATAGTACTGACTATTTCCAAGGTTAATAAAATAACCTCAGAGATTGGAGTTTAAAGGGCAGATTTCTATACTGATATGCTATCAACATAAGGTAGGTTCAAATTCCATGGTCTTTTGTTTTCCTTAGGTGTAAAAAGGTTTTAACATGTGCATCATATACATTGTACATATTCCAGTGATTACCATGACATTTAAGATATGATCGCCTATTAAAAACTGCATAGGTAAACATTTTTTGAGTTTCTATTTAATATGAATAATTATTAGTTATAGTTTTTATTGTGCTGTGATATTTTAAAACTAATTATATATGAACATTGGGCAGCTATATTTGCTTACATCATTTAAAAGCTGTGCTTCCTCCTTACAAGCACCGCACAGAGTCTGGCTTTCTTTTCTTCCTCAATGCAGTTCACTCAGTGTGCTCACTCTCTTTTTTTTAATTACATTTTTCTTTTAATGAGAGAATGTGATTGACTATAAGAATGGCCGCAACATTTGTCCAAAAAGTCAATGCAGGAAAGACAATGTACAGTGTGTTTAGTATAGGTTGAGCGCAAGCTTACAGTGCTGGGTCTAGGGATGAACATTAAGAAACACTTAAATGGATGGTGGTCAGGCTAGTAAAGCTGGTCATAGATTGGTAGAAAATCGTTCGAAAAATCATTTTGAAGCGCTTGATCATTCGTTTTGTTAGTGGGCTCATTTCAGTTCTTAAAATGCAAAGATTTATGGCAAAAAAACAAACTTGCATTTCCGAATTTTGTAGTGCCAGTGAACGATTTGAAGTACCAACTAACAATTAGATCGCAAATAACACGTAAAAATGTACTGTGCATAAGCATGTGAAATCAATCGACAAGAATTTACCTTTTATGCTGTAAACGAACAATATGTCCTCAAGTGGGGGGAAAAATTGTGTCAATATTGGCGTAATTGCAAGCTCATTCGACAGATCTTTATCAAATGCAAACAAATTTTCTGCTCATCTATGGCCAGCTTAAGTAGTGGGCAAAGGGAAGGATTGGGGGAGGTCTCAATTTTTAGATTGGTAAGTGCAATACAGTTTAAATGGGAGGTGAAGCGTCATTTGGAGTTGATACCATCGGGTATATTGAAAGCATTGCTCTATAGATTTTTGAGTTTCTACGTGCAACGTTTGGATGAAAGACTCCCAAAAATCAAAAAATTTTACTCATAAATCAATAAATAATACCAAAATCAGCCAGCGATGAATAACCTCTGCACATAAAAACACTTAAAACATAGGGATGCCACTTATCCCTCAAATGTCCAGAATTTTTAAATAATCATATATAAATTAATAAAACAGGGTATGCGGATAATATAGATAATGTTGGTATTAGCAATCTGTTGAAAAAGGGTAAGGAGATCACACTCAGATAGATCTACATCATAGGCAATTCCAAACTATGAGATCAGTAGCTAAAGTAGTAGAGAGGTTCCCACTGACCAGCAGGATGAGTACACAAGCAAGTCATCCTAGCAGATAGCATGGACTTACCTGAGACGAGAGGTCTAAGCACTAGCTGGTTTTCACCATATCTCCTGATGGTGGAGATGGGTTTTTGTTGTGGGCTAGTGCCAGGTTGCGGTCCTTAAGAAGAGTTGAACAAGCCAGGGTTTGGTAGCAGATGTACCCGTTGGGGATTAAGTAGAAGCATGGTGAGTAAAATGCTTAATTGTCAGTAACAAGAGGTTGTAGGTTGGGATCAAATGGAAGAGTAGTTGAGGAACAAGCCAAGGTCAATAATGAATGGTTGTAGATTGGGACTGAGCAAAAGCACAGTTGAGGAACAAGCCAAGGACTTTAATGAGTAGAAGTGAAGATATACAAATGATACCAGCGCTCAAATCTTCATGCAGACCAGGGAATTGAAAATGCCAAACGAAGAGGTGCTGCCCCTCAAAGACCAGGAAATCTGAATAGTGGTGAACAAAAACAGACAAGGGCGCACTCTCATCGTGCATTACCGTGGAGACCCACGTATTTATTAAATAAAATGGGAAATATACTCACAGTGTGCCTGCTGGTCCCTGGCCTATATACCAACAAATGTCAAAATCAGGGGTCAAGAAACCCTCCCACCCATTAACAATAGCCCAATCAGAAACAGAGAAAAAAAAAAAATTATTATCATGCAATATATCCAGGGATCATCTTGGATCACCAATGACAACACATATACATATAATATTTATGACATATATATATATATATATATATATATATATTATATATATATATTATTGAGTGTATATATGTGTGTATTCACATGTGCCCTCAAGGGGAATATATATTTATTTATAGTATTTATTTATGGATATTTGTGTCTAGCGCTTCACCACCATTATTTATTAATTTACCCATGCCACCAACATATTTTATTTTAATTTTCAAGGGCTTTCTTTTTTTTATTTTGGGAGCCACAGTGCACACTTGCTGACACAGGCAAAGCTCCTTTTTGTTTGCAGGATGTCATTGCATACTTATGCAGTGCACACAAGTATTGTGTACTAAAGCACCACATAGTTTTTCCCCAATTGCCATATTTGCCATTAAATTTAGCCAACCCCCCCTATATTTTGAGGCTCTGCATACAGACGTAGCAGGCAGCGAGCAGGTTCTGCAAGACAAAGTGCTGGTCAGGCCACACCATCTAGCACTGATTAATGCTTGTAGGAGGAGTTTTCTTTCTGCTCTAGGAGGATGTGAAACCTCTGACCCTCTGTCTGGACAGTGCTGATTGGCCCTGTGCCGATCACATGCACCCTCCCAAGAAAAAAAAATCCTCTCTAGCAATACACACCAAACTGAGTATGTGCACGTGACAACGGGTTCAGTCTGTATCAGGTGGTCATTTCACCAAGAGGAGGGGCAGAGAAGAAAAGATCAAACAGCCTTTTTGCACAATGCAGAGGGTTAACCCCTTAGGTTCCACAGTGAGTATAACCAGCATGCTTTACTGCATATACAGACTGATTTTACTGTTGTGGGTTCAGTAACACTGTAATAGATTAATAAAGCAAACAAAAATTACCACATTATCTACTGCTGATCTCCAGAAACACCAAATGTTTCGCGTCCAGGGCCAGTCAGATTACCTAATCACATGTAACTGTTCAGATGAACGGTTACATGCAAATATCATGGTGCTATCAATGGTGCTTTTGTACAAGTGGCTGAACCACTGCTGTTCGCACATTGTGTGCAAGGGAATAGTTTCTCCACCAGCAAGGATCCAGTCAGTCCGAAAGCTCCTCTAAGCTACCGAAGGATTTGCTTTAGCATTATAGCCCTTGTGCCCACTGTACTCTCAGCCATGCTCTGCAGCACCTGCAATCTCCCTTGCACCTCTGCTGCAAACTCAGCATTACCCACAGCCTCAGCTCTACCGCAGCTTCATCTCCACTACATCCACAGTCTCCAGTGGCGGACTGACCATTCGGGGGACTCGGCACTGCCCGAGGGCCTGGGGTCAGTAGGGGGCCCCATGAGATGCCCCTGGTACCTTTCATAGGCTTTTTTGAGTGTGGTTTGAGTGTGGGTGAGGACACAGGGGCCCCATAATTTCCTATTGCCCAGGGGCCACATGAGTATGCCCCTTTGCATTTTAGTGCCTCCCAACCCCTGGAGGCAGGTGGAGTATCTCTATAGACAGGGGGGCTGTCATTTCACCTCCACTGCTCTTTAGCTTCATCCACAGTCTAATCCTCTGCTGCAACTGCAGCCTTCACTGCATTCACATTCTGAGTCTCCACTGTACCAATCTCTGCTTCATCCACAGTCTACACCACCGTGCGATCTCTACACAAGTAGCATCTAGCCTCTGTTGTGCCTTGTGGTTTTAAGCCAGTAAAGTCCAGTGAAGAGACACTATCAAATTTTTCTTCAGCTGCATGTATTCACTAAATTTAAATGCATTTTTACAGAAAAGTCCAAAACAAAAATCAACAATTTTAACCACTTTGGTTTTACCCCCTTCATGACCAGGCCATTTGTTTGCTGTTCAAACTGTGCTACTTTAACTGGCAATTGCAGGGTCATTCAACAATTTAAATTTACATAATTTTTTCACAGAGCTGTCTTTTGGTGGTATTTGATCACTACTGGGGTTTTCAATTTTTTTTACTAAATAAACAAAAAAAAGACTGCAAATTTTGAAAAAGAAAACAATATTTTCTGTTATAAAACATATGCAATAAAATCTAATTTCATTATAAATTTAAGCCAAAATGTATTCTGCTACATGTCTTTGGTAAAAAAAACAAAATCCCAATAAGTATATTATTATATCATTTAGTCTGTGTGAAAGTTATAGAGTCTACAAACTATGGCATATATATATGAAAATTGATCACTCCTGATGTTTACTGATGCCTATCTCATTTCTTGAAGCCCTTAAAATGCCGGGACAGTACAAATACCCCCCAAATGACCCCTTTTGGAAAGTAGACAGTCTGAGATATTTAGTAAGAGGCATGGCAAGTTTTGAAGTTGTAATTTTTTTGTCACAAGTGTTTGGAAAAAGAAGAAATTAAATCAAATTTGTTTGTTTTTTTTCACTTTTTTTGTCACCAGTACAGTATAGCATTATCATATGACTGGTGTGGCGGTGATTAGGGGTACTGACTGGTGACAATATGCTAAAAAAAAATAATCATTTTTATTTCAATTTTGAAATGTATTTTTTACTATTTTTTTTTTACATATTTTCATCAGAGTACTTCAGGGGGTGATAATTGTTTTTGTGTGTGCACTTTGATTGATGTTACAGTGCTTACATTGTAACAGCAATGTTTCAAATTCATAACAGCATTTACTATTGTGTGTTGTGATTGGCCCACAGCTAACACATGGTACAGAGTGCTGTGATTGACCCAGGTACCATGTGACAACTGTAAACCAATCATAGCATCACAATAGAAACCACAGCTGTTATGAATGAAATCCGTTTATAACAGCTTTGTTAACATTGTGAACATATGATCACATAGCGATCACATGATTCCCCCGGCCAATCAGTGTCCTTAACCCGGAAGAGACTGAATGACATACAAGTATGTGATCCAGCCTGCCCATGCCACCCTGCTGCAGCAAATGTACTGTGATCGGGCAGCAAGTGGTTAGGTAAGTTTCCGATTTTGTGCTGGGCAGCATTCATAGCTGTCTTGAGCAACATGTGGCACATCTGTACATAAATAGAATCTAGGAGGGCACAGACATCATTCTTGCCTAGGCAAAAATTAAGGAAGTGCTGCTTCGCAGCACAATAAATGTTTAAAAATAAAATAAATGCAAATTATATCCAAATTTAAAGAAAGTGGGGGGGGGGGGCAGGGCAAGAGGAGATTAGTTTTAATTTTAGGGTGAAGGTCTGCTTTAATTAGAAAACATAATAATGCGTCTGACCACCTACATTTAAAACCTCATTGAGCGATGCTTTGACATATTGAGCAGAAGTAACCAAACAGTCACACAGCTTTAATTTTTTCAATACTTTTTCAGGTCTGATGGTTGAAAGCATGCTTGTTTGCATACCCAGTAAGCATATTTTTATAGTACAGTTGTTTTTCTGGTTAGGCATCGATGCGTGGTCAGTGTAGGTGTATATGCTGCCCAGCAGAGTTCTTCTTTAACACTTCTGTCTATATTGGCATAGAACACAGCTAATATTATGTAAAGATTGTTTAAAATTTTGTATATTGTAATACAGGTATTGCACTAGTATAGTTGCTCAAGATACAAAAGGAAATATTTATCATGGGAGAAACTTGGACTATGCTTTTCCTGAAATACTCAGAAACATCACCGTGGATTTGGATTTTATTCAGAATGGGAAGGTAGAGTATAATTTGTGTTCAAAAGTAGTACTTTTATTTCTGTGATACTGTATGTAAATAGAAACCACTTAATGTGGAGCTTCACCCAAGAGGGGAAGATTTTGACAGGTGTCTGCTCCCATGACCACCTAGGCAATTGGAAGCTGAAATTCTCCTTCCCCCTTACCTCCCTGAAGTCTTCTGGGACACATGAAAGGTCCCAGAAGACTTCAGGACCATTCACAATGCACAGATTGGCTCGTATATGCATAGTGGCCACTCGGCTGTGAAGCCACAAGCTGTCAGAGTTGGGTGCCCACAGTTGAGATGCTGACTACGAGGAAAGAAGACTGAGGGGAGGAATGGCTCGGGTCAGCACATTGTGCCATCCTGGGATAGGTGAGTGTCTCTTTATTAAAAGTCAGCATCTACAGTTTTTGTAGCTGCTGATTTGTAATGAACACAAAAATGACTGGAGCTGCTCTGCTGCCTATAAATTATATATGCAGCATAATCTTGAATTCTGGGGGGCCTATGTGTTTTATGCCTATTCTAGGGAGGCAGGTAAGCAGGCACTACAAGAGAAGCAGCAGCAATTAAAGACAAATAGACTCCTATAGTTCAGTGAATAACCTGAACATTCTGAAAAGAATTCAAAGAATAGCCAATCATGTGCAGCTACACTTTGAACCAAGCTAAGTGGAAATCCCCTTGCAAAGTGAACATTCTATTTGCCTTTAGTACTTCAAGGTGTTGCAATGTGTCTGCTTGCTTTTTCGCTGCTACTTAAAATCACTAGCATCTGCTCAGTCTCCATATAATTAAAGTGTTACTAAACCCAAAACAGGAAAATCAGTCTGTATATACAATAAAGCATGCTGGTTATACTCACTGTGAAACCTAAGGGGTTAATCCTCTGCATTGTGTAAAAACATTGTTTGATCCTGACTTCTCTGATCCTCCCCCCTTCTTCCAGTGTCCCTCTCTTATCTCCTGATAAGACATATCGTATGGAGACACTCTGCACATGATCAGTTTGGTGTGCATTGCTAGAGGGGTTTTTTTTTTCACTGTCCAGACAGAGGTCAGAGGCTCTGCATCCTCCTAGAGCAAAATTAAAACTCCTCCTACAAGCTTTAACATGTGCTCTGCTGGACACTGATAAAAGTCACAAGACTGCTCTAACTGCTGATAAGAAAAGGTATTTAGCAGTTTATATTTACTAAAATAATTGCACTTCCATGTTCTGTGTACTGAGGGAGTCCAGATATAGTGAATGCAGGGTCCTGGGTTTAGTAATACTTTAAGATTGTTCTCAAGCACTTAGGCTAGGTTCACATTAGTGTGGCTGCAATTTAATCCCAATTTTCAGTGCGTAGTGTGACTTGGTTGCACTTTGACGGGTTTTTAGCGTAGGGCATTTTTTGGTAGGGGAAGGAGAATGGATGCTGGTTGTTAGGGAGCAGGCACTAGGCCGCGTCTTAACAACCAATGACTCATCCCTGCTGTCAGCTCCTTTATTTACAGTCTGCTTTCGGAATGTCATTCTACAGCAGAATGTAAACAAAGAAGCCTGTCAATGAAAATTTAAATTGTGGAGTCCCCCCACAATCGGAAGGGCCCAGTATGGATTTTAAGGGGGACACCCTACACCCAAAAAACAAAAAGGTTGCGTACCCTCACCCCCAAAATTCATACCAGACCCTTAGGGGTTTATTTACTAAACCTGGTTGACTCAGAATCTTGTCCACTTCTGCATAAAAAAACCAATCAGCTTCCAGGTTTTATTGCTGAAGCTTAACTGAACATGCTGAGGTTAGAAGCTGATTGGCTACCATGCACAGGTGCCCAAGATTCTGAGTCAACCAGTTTTAGTAAATCTCCTATTTAGGATCTGTCATGGATTTTAAGGGGGGCCACACAGCAAAAAAAATAAAACAAATTGTATGCCTCCCCCCAAATTCATACCAGACCCTTATCTCGAGTATGCAGAAAAGGGGAGATGAGTGTTCATGTTTTAACCCCCTCCCTCCAAATCATACAAGGCAACATGCCCTCAAGGAAAAGAGCCAAGGGCCCCACAACCCTGGCCTAGTGGTTGTGAGGGATTGCAGGCAGGAGGATTATCAGAAACTGGAACCCCTCTTTAACAATAAGGGGGCCCCCAGATCCCCCCTCCCTCCATGTTAATGAGTAAGGGATACATAGCAATCTGCAATCAGCAAAGCTCATGCTCCCCACTGACTGGAGAGCTCTGTCCCTGGCTCAGCAGGGGTGTCGGACCTCTGCATAGAGTTCAATGATTCCATACAGAGAGCAAAGGGTCCACTCTGCAGCATGCTGGCATGGGACAGGTTTTTCTAATTTGGCTGTGGCTGCTTTAGATAGAAAACAATTAGTAAGACATTGATCACCTTTTGTTTTGATGCTCCTGGAATGTATTTAGCAAATTTAACCCGAGGGGTCAATTGGACTTTAAATCCACAGGTCCACAAATTATGCAGGAGTGCTAAATGACAGGATCATAACCTTGTCTAATTTGCAATTGCCAGTTTATATATTTAAAATCTTTTTGGGGCGCTTAGGACACTGAGATTGAGCCTGAGGTGAGTTGAGTGAACTGGTCTACACATGCATGGCCAGATTTAGACAGTTAAATGTCCAAGTACTCAGCATTAAAGTTAATCTCATAGCCAAAAATAATGGACAGACTTTAATAGAGACATTTATAGATTAGCTTTGAAACTACAGATATATTGATGAAATCTAAAGTGATTTTTTACTGGGTTATGTTGTAATTTAGGAATTAATATGTGGTAAATATTTTGCATTGTTTGAATTCTCAGATCGCAATTAATTTAACTTTGTGGAGAAAGCTGGACGGGGTGCACTATTCCACAATTACAACAATGCAAATTTTTACTGTTGAAACACTACAGATAACAGATTTAATGGAGTTAACTAAAGGCAAATAGACTGTGAACTTTGTAAAGTGCAGTTGCACTCTGCAAGTGCGGTTGCCCCAGAGCTTAGTAAATGAGGTAAACCTTCACTTTAAAAAGAATACCCAATCACGTGCAAGGAAAATTAAAAAAACTGAATTTTTGCTTGCAGGTGATTGGATGATGGAAGTCAGCAGAGCTTTGCCTCATTTACTAAGCTCTGGAGCAACTTCCTTTGCAGAGTGCAACTGCATTTTGCAAAGTACACAGTCTATTTGCCTTTAGTAAATCAACCCCAAAGTGTTACTAACCCCACAACAGTAAAATCAGTCTGTATCTGCACTAACGCATGGTTGTTATACTCACTGTGGATCTAAGGGGTTAATCCTCTGCATTGTGTAAAAAGGATATTTGATCCTGTATTCTCTTATCCACCCCTTCTTCCACAGTCCCCAATCCATCTCCTGCTAAAACAGAGCATTTAGGGCAGCTCAGTTTGGTGTGTATTGCTAGAGAGTTTTTTTTTTTTTTCATGTGATCAGCACAGGGCCAATCAGCACTGTCCAGACAGAGGGTCAGGGGTCCTGCAGCCTCATAGAACAATCAGGGGAGAATGAAAACTCCTCCTACAAGATTTAACCAGTTCTCTGCTGGACACTGATAGAAGTCACATGACTGCTCTAACTGCTCATGAGAAAAGGTATTTAGCAGTTTATATTTACTAAAGTGATTGCAATTCCATGTTCTGTGTACAGTGGACACCTGATATCGTGAACGCAGGGTTCTGGGTTTAGCAACACTTTGAGAATCAGTAAAATTGGGAATTTAGCCTATGTTGTTATAAAAAAAAACACACATTTTCAGCCAGATCCTAGGAACCTTCATACCAGCTTTGGAATAAAAAAAGACAACTGGCACCAAATGCTTTGCGCCTTGGATATTGTTTGTAGAAATGACGTTTCCTAGAACTATCTAGTACCTCTTAACCACTTGCCCTCCAGAGGATTTCCCCCCCCCCCCCTTCCTGACCAAGCCATTTTTTGTGATACGATGCTTCGTTACGTTAACTGACAATTGCGCATTCATGCAATGCTCTACATAAATTAAATTTATGTCCTTTTTTCCTACAAATTGAGCTTTCTTTCGGTGGTATTTGATCACCTGTGTGGTCTTTCTTTTTTGCGCTATAAACAAAAAAAGACCGACAATGAAACCCCAATATTTTTGACTTTTTGCTATTAAACATGTCCAATAAAAAAATTTAAAAATCAAATTTTGTCATAAATTTAGGCCAAAATGTATTCTGCTACATGTCTCTGCTAAACAAAATCCCAATACGTGTAAATTAATTGGTTTACGTGAAAGTTATAGCATTTACAAATGGCGGTATATATATTGGATTTTTATTTTTACACTAGTAATGGCAGCGATCAGCGACGTATTGTAGAACTGCAGCGGGCATTCTGACACTGGTGGGAACTGACTAACTGCTACTGACATCCCAATGACACTAATACAGTGATCAGTGCTAATTAAAAAGACACTGACACAGTACTAATGACACTGGGCAGGAAGCGGTTAACATCTGGGGCGATCAAAGGGTTAACTATGTGCTGTTTTACATCATGTGCTGTGTGTGTTTTACTAGGGAAACATGCTGCTGTGTATTTCCCTGCTGTGCAGAGAAATACACAGCAGAATGTTCTTGCTGGTATGAGAGAGACGTGTGTTGTTTACACACAGGTCTCTCCCACAGTGTTACTCGGCGATCGCTGGGTGCCGGCAGGGAATCACCATCCGGAACCCAGTGACTGACAGCTGAGGTCGCCAATGGCAGCAAGGATAGGGCGGCACATGTGCTCCCTACCCAGAAATGCAAATCACGTATATATACCTGATTTTGCATAGCCCTGCTGCCCTGTAGCAGTATTTCTGACAAGTGAATTTGTCTACTTCTCCATAATAAGATAATGAATAGATAACATTGGCAATAAAAAACATTTTTAATTTGCAGATTTTATACAACACTAGGATATCTTTAAACTGTACCTATAATTTGTCCTCCAGATTGCATATACAGGAACAACCTTCCTAGGTTATGTGGGATTATGGACTGGTCAAAGCCCTTACAAGTTTACTGTATCAGGTGATGAAAGAGGTAAACAAAATGTTGTTGTTATTGCTATGTATATCCATACAGAAATCTTTATATTTATATTTATATCCATACATAAAGCTTTATATTTATATTTATAAGGAGTAAAACATGTTAATAATAAATGTTACCTAGTTTTGTTCCCGGATTTTTGCTTTAAGTACACTTAGGCTTTAAGGGGGCTATACAAAGCACAAATGTGAACATTGTGGGGCTGTAGTAGCAGTGGTCTCAGGCCACATTTCTCCTGTCTATGACTGTCTCCTGAATAATGCCCCCAGTCCCCAACTACTTAATAGCATTTTCATAGTCTATGACAATCGCCAGTTGCATGTCTGCTGTCTCTGAGACTTTTCTGTAGCACTACATCTAATAAATATTATGTGCAGCCCCCTGCATCAAGAAAACTGACCACCGCTGATCTAGTGCATTTTTTAAATTTGCAAGATTTTATGTTCCCTTTAACCTATAGAGAGGGAGAAGTCTTTGTGCTACGCATGCAGTTATTGCTGTCAAGACAGTGAAGCTGAAAGCAACAACTTATGATCAGAAATAAGAAAATTAATATATATACTGTATACACAGTTAGGTCCATATATATTTGGACACAGGCACAATTTTAGTTTTTTTTTTTCAGGTATTTACCAAAACATATTCAAGCTATAGCTAGATAATGAATATGAGCTGAAAGTGCACACTCTCAGGTTTATTTGAGGGTATGTACATCCAAATTGGAGGAACGATTTAGGAATTACAGCTCTTAAGAATAGCCAACCCCTCTTTTTCAAGGGACCAAAGTAATTGGACAAGTGAATCAAAAGCTGTTTCATGGCCAGGTGTGGACTATTCCTTCATTATTTCTTCATCAAGTAAGCAGGTAAAAGGTCTGGAGTTGATTCTATGTGTGGTATTTGCATTTGGAATCTATTGCTGTGAACCTACGTACATCATGTGTTCAAATGAGCTGTCCATGCAAGTGAAACAGGCCATTGTGAGGCTTCAAAAACAAAACAAATCCATCAAAGAGATAGCAGCAACATTAGGAGTGGCCAAATCAACAGTTTGGTACATTCTGAGGAAAGAAGAACGCACTGGTGAGCTCAGCAACATAAAAAGGCATGGACAGCCGTGGAAGACAACAGTGGTGGATGATCACATGATCCTCTCTATGGTGAATAAAAACCCATTCACAACATCCAGACAAGCAAAGGACACTCTCCAGGAGGTGGGAATATCATTGTCAAAGTCTACAATCAAGAGAAGACTTCACGAGAGCAAATACAGAGGGTTCACCACAAGGTGCAAACCATTCATAAGTCTGAAGAACAGAAAAGCCAGATTAGACTTTGCCAAAAACATTTAAAAAAGCCAGACCAGTTCTGGAAAAGCATTCTTTGGACAGATGAAACTAAGATTAATATGTACCAGACGGGAAGAAAAAAGTGTGGAGAAGGCTTGGAACAGCTCATGATCCAAAGCACACAACGTCATCTGTAAAACATGGAGGAGGCAGTGTGATGGCATGGGCATGCATGGCTTCCAGTGACACTGGGTCATTGGTGTTTATTGATGATGTGACAGAAGACACAAGCAGTCAGATGAATTCTGCAGTGTTTAGAGATATACTGTCAACCCAGATTCAGCCAAATGCAGCAAAGTTGATTGGATGGCGCTTCACAGTACAGATGGACAATGATCCAAAAACACACTGCAAAAGCAACCCAGGAGCTTTTGAAGGAAAAGAAGTGGAATATTCTGCAATGGCCAAATCAATCACCTGATCTCAACCCAATTGAGCATCCATTTCACTCGCTGAAGGCAAAACTAAAGGCAAAAAGACCCACAAACAAAGAACAACTGAAGACAGCTGCAGTTAGAGCCTGGCAAAGCATCAGAAAAGAGGAAACCCAGTCTTTGGTCCATGGGTTCTAGACTTCAGGCAGTCATTGCCAGTAAAGAATTCTCAACAAAATATTAAATATGAACATTTTATTTATGATCATATTCATTTGTCCAACTACTTTTGAGCCCCTGAAAATGTAGGGACTGTGTATAAAAAATGGTTGCAGTTCCTAAAATTTGTACTTGATTTTTATGTTCAACCCCTTGAATTAAAGCTGAAAGTCTGCACTTCAGATTCATTTGGATTGTTTTATTTTAATTTATTCTGGTGGCATACAGAGCCAAAAGTATGAAAATTGTGCCTGTGTCCAAATATATATGGACCTAACTGTATTTGTCTTTTTGGTCCTATCCTGGCCTAAAATATTGTAATAAGGTGTTAAATACCTTACATTTGATTGCTTCAAAGTGGTTGTAAAAGCTCAAGTTTTTTTTACCTTCATGCATAAAGGTAAAAAACCTGCTGTATGCAGCAGCCCCCCAGCCCTCCCTTCAGGATCCAGCGATGTGCAAGAGAGCCTCAGCTGTCCTTGGTCTCTCCCTCCTCATTGGCTGAAAGATGGGCTCCCGCTACTTTCAATCACAGTCCGTGAGCCAAGGAGGAGAGAGAGTAGGGACGGGGCTCATGAGTAAGCCTTCTCAGGTGCCCCATAGCAAGCTGGTTGTTGTGGGAGCACTTAGCAGGAGGTAGGGACCAGGAGTGCCGGACCCGAGAAGAAGAGGATCAGGGCTGCTTTGTGCAAAACCACTAAACATAGCTGAAAGTATGGCATGTTTCTTATTTAAAAAAAAATCTGCCTTTACAATTACTTTAGTTTGCTTATGATGAAAAAAAAATGTAAAGCTGTGAGAGAAAAAGCTGGCTCTTCACTTATCATGCCTAATGGTAAACCCAACCCGGCCCATAAATGGAGGTCACACTAGCCAAAATAAACAGCGACAAAGATATCAAACGTAATATTCCTTGTTCATTATGTAGTCCAAGACCGCAAACACACACATTTTAAACATCCTAGACTTGAAGTGGAGATATCTGGATGATGCCATATATCTTTCTTTTCAGTCGGCGATTCCTTCTTGTGTAAAAGCCATCCTAGCAGCTGATTAGCCCCTCCCGCTACCCACAGGCACCTTTCCAGGTTCTCCTGGGTGGTCCCCAGCCATCTCTATGATCCTGGGAGACCGGAAGTGGCATCATGAAGTCAGTTCTGGCATTGGCAGATGTAAACACTGCCAGTTTTTTACCTGGAAAGCAAAGATCAATGTTTTTTTATCTCATGCTTTCCAGGGTAGAGGAGAGATGTGGGTCTTTTAGACCCCATATGTCTCCGGAAAGAGGACCCATCATCCCTTATTTCTATCACAATTTTCCCAGCAGGAGCAAATTGGATCATGCTTTGCTGGGGGTTTTTTTTGCCTTCCTCTAGATCAACTGTGGGTATAGGATTATAACTTTTTTTTTTATATGGTTGAACTGGATGGACTTTTGTCTTTTTTCAGCCAGACTAACTATGTAACTATAGTTCAGTTTTGGGCACCAATTCACAAAAAACAATTTATAAGTATCGTAGTTTGGCGCCATTTCACAAGCATGCACACTTTTAAAGCATAACATTTTAGGTATCTATTTACTCGGCGTAACATCATCTTTTATATTTTACAAAAAAATGGGGTGTATATTGTGTTTTTTGCATTAAAATATTTTTTCCAAACAAAATGCGTTTGAAAAATCACTGCACAAATACCTTGTGACATAAAAAATTGCAGCAACCGCATTATTATTATTATTATTATTATTATTATTATTAATTTTAATAACAATAATAATAATCATATTTAATATATATATATATATATATATATATATATATATATTGGGGGTTCTGAGTAATTTTCTAGCCAAAAAATTATGATTTTTACTTGTAGGAGAGAAATGCCAGAGTTAGCCTGGGTGGCAAGTTGTTAAACATCACCACATCAGAACAAATATTTAAAGGGTTTGATTATAAAAATGACCTAAATGCACCAACGTTGAATGGAACACCACTGTTAATTATTACAAATATAAAATTGTATATTTCAGCCCTGATTAACACAGAAAGGAAGAATGTATAAACCACGTTGAATTTAATTTAAATACAATATGTGATTCCTTCCTGGTTTTAGCATTGCATGCACACATGTAGATTCACAGATTTAAACCTTGTATTTATTAAGGAGAAATTTTAACTTTTATATTTCACTGAAACACAGCAAAAGGGAAGTGGTGGGAGAATGCCATCTCTGCACTTTTCAAGAGAAGTTCACCTGTCAGCTGGCTGATAAGAGATGTAAGTACAAGAGCCAAGCTGTCTAGCATAATTATAGAATAATGCACTTTCAAATAAATTTGTTTGTTGCTTTACCAATTCAGTGGGCTGCAGAAGTAAAATAGAAAACTGTAAGGGCTGCAGAAGTAAAATAAGAAAAATAATATTCTGTTGTATCCTTCTCTCCATCAGGTATTGAATAATGCCAGAGATTTTGAGGAGGCTGCACTGCTGCTTTCAAAGACTCCAATTATAGCTGATACATATTACATTATGGGTGGCACTAAGGCAAGAGAAGGGTTGGTCATCACCAGAAATCGGGATGGGCCTGCAGACCTCTGGCCTTTGGATCCCCAAAGAGGAGAGTGAGTGAAGCCTAATTACAATTCATCACACGACATGCGTCACTGGTCAATATGGTTTGTACACAATATCACATTTTATTGTGTGATAAATATATATTAGGTTCAGCACTTGGAAAGGTTGGCAAATGATCTGCTTTAATTAGGGTATGGAAGAGAGTAGGAAATTTCCCACAAGGCTCCCCTTGACCTCCTGTTCCTATAGGCGCCAGCTAGTTCTATATGGAAGTGACACTAAAACAAACTTTTAATCTGTTTTGGTTGCATTTAGGCCTCTTGCGCACGGGAGTAAAAACACCAAATTTTTTACTGATTTGAAATGAGATGCATTATTCTCTATGGAACAATGAACACAGCTGAGTAAAGATCAGTAATACTGTATTGAGTACAAAGCCATAAAACAAAAATAGAAAATGTTACATTTGAGTGCAGTGATTTATGTGCAAACACGTGTTTACGCATCTATAAGCATGTTTATGCGAGTATAAATGAGTTTTTTTTATAACACTGGCAATGAAGAAGAATTTTACTGGTCTATACACTTACGCAACTCTATACATGTGTTTATACAAGGTCTTTACGTAACAATACTCTTCTTTCTGTCAACAAGTATAAACATCAGTAAATTATTACGCCTGTGTGCAACTGGCCTCACTGTAACTTTTAAGCCTTTAAGTGATCATATATGATTGATTTACTAAAGATAATTAGGCTACTCTCTTTGCAAGGGAAGTTGCACTTTGCAAGGGAATTTTTTCCCAAATCTTAGTGAATGAGGTTAGGCTCGGTGCAAGCAAAATGCTGTTTTTTATTTTCCTTGCTTGCAAATGGCTATTCTTTGCAAAGTGAAATTTCACCACATTAGTTAAGCTCTTGGGAAATTCCATTGCACTGTACAGCTTCCTTTGCAAATTGAACTACTTTTTTGCTTTTAATAAATTAATTCCTGTGTCTTTAAGATCAAATGCCACTAATATAATGCAGTCAAACTGTAAACCATGAGACTATGAATGGGCTTGGGTTCTTGTATCACTGAAATGTATACAACATGATTTTACTTAAGTTAAAGAAGTTCCAGTAGGTAATGTCATGCATCATGTCACTGCTGAATACCTGATACATGTTAAGTGGTAATAAAGAAAAGATTAGTATGTTTGTGGAGCAAATTTGCAAATGTGATTTAGCTGTAAAAACATCTCAAGTGTTTTAAACCTTTGTTTTATCTCTCATTACAGATGGTTCCATGTAGAAACAAACTACGATCACTGGACCACCCCACCACCATATGATGACCGACGGTATGAGACAGAGCCTCAAAATAATCAGTGAGATTGATCAAGATTGTGACAGTAGGAAAAGCAGTCTCTTTTTTTCTGTGGCCTTTAATTACAGGTATCTTATGACAAATTCAGCCATGCCCTTGTCTACCTGAATGCATGGCATGAGGGAGGGACAGCCCTTCATAGTAAAATCACTGAATACTAGGCTGCTAATGTCTGAATTAGGGAGACACCCAGATGAATTGTGGTTAAAGTGGAACTGCACAGTACCACAAACCAAAAATACTATACAATTCATTATTAATATTCAAGACAAGCTCTTCTATCCACCTACAGTCAGGTCCATAAATATTGGGACATTGACACAATTCTAACATTTATGGCTCTATACACCACCACAATGGATTTGAAATGAAACATGATGTGCTTTAACTACAGACTGTCAGCTTTAATTTGAGGGTATTTGCATCCAAATCAGGTGAACGGTGTAGGAATTACAACAGTTTGCATATGTGCCTCCCACTTGTTAAGGGACCAAAAGTAATGGGACAGAATAATAATCATAAATCAAACTTTCACTTTTTAATACTTGGTTGCAAATCCTTTGCAGTCAATTACAGCCTGAAGTCTGGAATGCATAGACATCACCAGACGCTGGGTTTCATCCCTGGTGATGCTCTGCCAGGCCTCTACTGCAACTGTCTTCAGTTCCTGCTTGTTCTTGGGGCATTTTCCCTTCAGTTTTGTCTTCAGCAAGTGAAATGCATGCTCAATCGGATTCAGCTCAGGTGATTGACTGAAAGGAAAGAAAGAAGGAGGTAAAGAAAGAAGGAGGGAAAGGAAGGAGGAAAACAGGAGAGAGAGAGAGAGAGAGAGAGAGAGAGAGAGAGAGAGAGAGAAGAGAGAGATGTATAGAAGGAGGGAAAGAAAGAAAAAAAAGGAGAGAAACAGGAGAGAGAGAGAGAGAGAGAGAGAGAGAGAGAGAGAGAAAGAGAGACACATAGAAAGAAAGAAGGAAGGAGGGACAGAAAGAAGGAAAAAGGGAAAGAAGGAAAGAGGGAGGGAAAGAAGGAAGAAGGGACAGAAAGAAGGAGGGAAAGAAAACAGGAGGGAGGAAAACAGGAGAGAGAGAGAGAGAGAGAGAGAGAAAGAAAGAAAGAGAAACTGCAGGGCCCAATTCTTTCCACTAACACCAATGATGGGGCACTATTCCTTGCCCTGATACCAGCAGTGAGACACTATTCCTCCCACTGACACCAATGATGGGGCATTTATTCCCCTGATACCAATATTGAGGCACAATTCCTACCAATGACACCAATTATGGGGCCCTATTTCTTTCCCTAAAACCAACAATGGGGCACTATTTCTCCTACTAATTCCAACTCCCATTGATGCCAGGACGTTTTCTACTCACACTGGCCACTGTCTGCCCCCTCAAAGTCTGGAGGACTGTAAACTAGCTCTTTGTTCAAAAAGTTTGGAGACTCCTGCTCTGAAAGAAGTTTCTAGAAGCGGGGGAGAATTCAAATACCCAGCCTAAATATTTAGCAAGGTCTGGCCAATCCCTGGGCAGCTGTGCCTAGATGGTGGCTGGTTACTGTTATGTAGTCTGGAGCCTGGAAAAGATTGTCTGTCTCCATTATATGGGTTGGGTCCCTTTGCTTATGGGGAACCAGCCGCTGGGGAGGGAGTCAGAGCACTGACCCTCTTGCTACCAGGGAACCCATCGCCAAGTTAGTTACCAGATTTTGACTGCCTTTAATGTGGTGGATGGATAGGATGCTGCTGTTCTTTGCTGTGTGGATAGGGTTCTTCAAGTGATGACAGTTTAATAAAATGATAGGCTTTGCCTGAATGGATAGGTTGCATTCTCAGTGACATTGGTGGTTTAAGGTATAACCAAATGCAATCCTTTTTTTAACCACTTGGCCTCTCACACTTGTTCATCCCCTATGTACCAGAGCAATATTTACAATTCTGCTATAGACTTTGTTCAGCAATAACATTGTCTTTACTTAAGATAACAAGGTAATACATACATTGTTTATTTTAAGGACAAGCAAGGTTTTCTTTTCGTGATATTTTCTTGTCAATTTTTTTCCCCAATTCTTAGACAATAAATGCAGCAAAGCTGAGTAAAAAACACTTTTCCTTTTTTTTTTTTAGACCAGTGTTCATTTAAAAACAAATAGTCTTGCTGCTAGTAAAAAATATACATTCTATTTTGTCATTTGTCCTGTCTAAAATTACACCAAAATGATGACTCTAGTACAAAGCTTTGCAAAGTTAAAATTAAATTGAAAGTGTTTTTTTTTTTCAATTTTTGGCTTTTTTCAAATAGGAAGCATATAAATATAAGCTAAATGTGTAAACATATTAATGAAAAACAAACAAAAGCAAAAAAAAAACATTTACATATTAATGGTTAATAAAATTGAAATAAACAAACAAACAAGAAAAATCAGCAGGAAAATGGAATTTAATAGGGCTGATTAGAGTAAAATAAGGGTTAATAAGTGGTTTTAAACAGAGGAACATTTTATTTAAATAATTTTTTCATTTCACTAGTTAGTTTGCTTTAACTGACATTACCTGAAGATCAAAGTTCATTAGTTGCAGATGAATGAACAGAGTAGATACAAATAAAACATTATGTTACTTTGTATCTTTTCTGCTGTCTGAGAAGTGTTTTTCTAAATACTGTCATACTCCCTTTTTTTACAGTTTTAGCTGCCTAAAGCTGCCCTGTGCACTGTGTACTGAGCAGGCCAGGTTTTGGTAAAGCAGAGCCGAGAACTGCTGGGGGGTGGAAGAGATGGTGTAGCAGGACAGACAGACTAGATGTGCTACACAGACCCTGTGTACAATGATTATGTCTTTTTGGGCATGTGTAGCATGACCAAAGTCTGCAACTTGTTAAGTTTTATTTTTAGATAGAGAGGGATTCGAACAAATGTCAAGTTTTTATTTGGTTCTGTGCCCCCAATAAGGAGATTCAGCCTCTCTATTTGTCTTGGCTACCATTATCACAAACATTAAAAGGGAAAGAAAATGGTCACCAGAATAGGAATAGAGGCAGGGGCGGACTGACCATTTGGAAACTCGGGCACTGCCCGAGGGCCCGGGGTCAGTAGGGGCCCCATGAGATGCCCCTGGTACCTTTTTTCATAGGCTTTTTTGAGTCTGGGCAAGGACACAGGGGCCCCATGATCCCCTATTGCCCGGGGGCCCCATGAGTTGTCAGTCCGCCCCTGAATAGAGGGAAACTCTTCAAATGTGGAAAACTAGTTCCGGTGACCCTAATGCCAACCAGATATTTACTCTCACTTCCTTCAGTTGTGCAGAATACCTGCTTTATAAAGATCTGCTGGTGTGAGAGCCACTTGATGTGGTACATGAAGTTTTTAGCACAGGGAAAGAGTGTGGAAGGCATTCTGTTATCATAGTTTTTGATAGGAAGAGTTTTGTTTTTCTATTGGTTCATAATCTAATCTTGTACAAAGTAAGAAAAGCTACGGGAAATGGTGAGGTCTGAGGGTTGAATTAGTTCAAAGAATCAAAAGCCTTGAGTGTAATTTAGCAGGAGGACAAAAACAGTAAATTGTGATGGTATCATCATCATCACAGGTAAAATTGTCCTAAGCAAACAGGTGTCTAAATATTAATAACGGTATTACTCATCATTATATAAAAAATATTCAACTAATAAAAATAACTCCAGCCAAGTACGAAGTATCCCTTTATCTTTTTTTTTTCCCGGCACACATGCGGAGAAGGAGCACACAGTCTAAGGAAGGGAGGATTCATATCCCATACTCATTTACAGCAGTATATCCAGGAATGGAAAGCCCAAGGAAAGGAGGATTCTCATCCCACATTTACTCACTGCAGTATATTTAACAGTGAAGAGGTGATTAACCCACTCAGCTCCCAACAGAGTATTACATCAGGGTAATCCTTTGCTCTTCAAAATCAATACCTGCACTTATAGACTGATGCGAAAGTGTGAGTATTCCACAAGTACTTTTGAGTATGTCAATCTCATGAAGGAACTTCATACTTGGCTGGACTTATTTTTATTAGTTGAATATTTTTTATATAATATAAGATCCCATATTCATCATTGCAATTTGATATATTTTTTTATAATATATTATTTCTGATTATTGATGATTAATACCATTATTAATATTTAGACACCTGTTCACATAGAGGGCGCAGCACCACATATTTATTTAATATTTATTTTTTATTTTAGCATACATATATGAGGATGTAAAGAGGAGCTAGTGAACTCACTTTTATTATATATAAAGATTTTACATTATATATGTCACATTATATATTTCCAGTGGCTCACAGGTATTTTCACATTTGTTTAAAATTGTCCTAAGGTTGTAAATAAAATTGTTGGTTCTCATAGCTCCAGGACTGCTTCTGATTCAAGTTATTTTTGTTATTTTTTTTCTTTTTTAGAACTCCAGCTATAAAAGCCATGAATGCTACTGGACAAGCAAACATCAATACTGTCTCTTTATATAAGGTTGGATCCATCCTATTCCTTTACCTAACACCAAAAAAATGTATAAGAATATTGAATACTGAACAATTCATATGTCATGCTCTTCTTCTGATTTCATTGTTTTATATTTGAACATAAGGAGATTTGTACGTGGTCAGTTTTAATTAGCTAGCCTTTAAGTGGTTCCAAAGTGTCAAGATTTGCATTCTATGCATGAAGGTAAAAAACCTCCTGTGCGCAACATCCCAGCCCCTCCTAATACTCACCTAAGCTCCCTCTAGATCCAACGATGAGCACTGGAGTCTTGGAAATCCTGGGTCTCCCTCTCCTCATTGGCTGAGACAGAAGCAGGAGCCATTGGCTCCCACTGTTATCAATCACAGCCAGTGAGTCAGTGAGAAAAGAGAGGGAGCTGAGCCACGGCTCCGTGTGTCAATGGACACACAGAACAGCGGATGCCCCCATAGCAAGCTGTTTGCTGCGGGGGCACCAGACAGAAGGGAGGGGCCAGGAGAGCCTGCGGGGGACCCAAGAAGAGGGAGATCCTGGCTGCTCTGTGCAAAACCACCACTATACAGAGCAGGTAAGTATAACATGTTTGTTATTTTTTCTTAAAAAAAAAATATGCCTTTAGAATCAGTTTTACTTGCACGGTAGCCTGCTAAAGATAGCTATTGCAGCTGACAGCAACTAGGTGCAGTCACTGGCCCATTCCAGTATAATGAAAGGTCAGTGGCAGCCACATTGTTGTGTGCATCCAGCAGCGATTACTGCAGGTAATCATGGACAGCCGTGAATAGGTGTGGCTGCTGGCGACCTGTCACTAAAGTGAATGGGGCCAGTGGCCACATCTAGCAGCTCACAGCTGCAGCAAGAATCAGAAGTTTCCCATCACTGCAATTTGCCCTATTGCCAGTGTGAATGTAGCTTAAGGCTCCATACACACTAGTGTTTTTTAAGTTCCTAGAAGCTGTTATCAGCATTTTTTCTGCTCCTGGAAGCAAAATAGTGTTACCCTATGTGTACATGCACACTATTTTAGGCTAACTTCAGCGTTTAGGAGCAGAACAAAAAAAAAATATTTTTAGAGTTTTTGAGCATTTTGCCAGGAGAAAAAAACACTGAACTCTCCTAAACGTTACTAAAACACTCCCTAACAGCTTTTATTCGACCTTTTTTTTCTACATGTACTGTAAAAACACTAATAAAACACTAACACCCCTAAACACTACTAAAACGTTACTACAAGCCAGCACAAAAACGCTATTATCAGCGTTTTTCATCCAGCTTTTGTTTCTAGCATTTTTTGAGCTTATAAAAAATGCTGGTGTGCATGGAGCCTCATACTGAGTTTATGTTTGCTTTTGAGGGCCAGTTATAAAAGGCTGTACTACCCCAGACCTCCCCATTAAAGTATATGTAAACCCTCATCTTGTAAAACAACCCATTCAGTTTAAAAAATAAACGAAAGGCAAAACATTTGTGTTTAGATATAAAAAAAATTATAAATACTTTTCCCCTGTTTTATAAGTGACCCTCTAAGCTCCTTATGCAGCTGAGAACAGAGAGCTGGGGAAGGAGAAACAGCAGAACACACATAACTTCCCAGTGAATGGCTGTGCAGGGGGTGGGGGGGTGTGAGCAGAAGTCTGATCATTGGAATAGAGCACACTGAGTTCCCAGCACAGCGAGCAAACTGACCATTCTGCGTTCTACAGTGTTGTCAGTTTTTCATAGGAAAGCAGAGGGTCTGGCAGGAACACCAGGGATTTCACACAAAGGATGCAATACAAAGAGAAGAGGATAGGGGTCAGACACATGTTCCAGCAACAATGCTTTGCTTTGTGGCAAAACATGAATTATGTCTGTGTCACATTTAGCAGGCAGTACTACCGCAAGGTCCGACCCACTTAAGTGAATGAGGCCACACCACAACTTTTAGCCAAACACTAGGCTCACAGTTGGAGCGCAGTTTTCTTATTCATAAAACCTAATTTAGCTCTGCAAAAAAAAAGAGACATTCAGGAGGTGGCAGAATCGCCTCCTGAATGTCTTTCGGTCGCTCCTGCACTGCTCTCTGAAAAGGGATCCACCACAGATCACTCTTAGTGCCTCATTCACACTGTGACACACATATGTACCTTTATGTGCTTGTTTTGTGGACTGTCCTATGCAACATGCCAAAGAAGCTCATGTGCCTTTTTGAGGTTTGTGCTCTGAAATTTTCTTTTAACCCCGCAAACCTTTTCAAATAAAAACACTCTGTTTAGGTAAATGCAGCTTAAGACCCCATTTGCAGTATGATGTTATGCTCATATGGCAGCCCATTCCTTTTAATGGACTACTTTGCCATGTATGTCACACCTCAAACTGGTCTATTACAAATGACAGACCAACAGGATAACATGCAAATGTTAGTTAGCATGCGCAGATGTACAGAAGAGCTCTGCCTTGGCCATCGGGACCTGGCACACACCTGTGGTGCATCGGCTCATATGGCAAGTTTCTCCACGCATGTGCACACAACCAGAGATAGGAGACCTCCATGTTTGCACCATCTTTTGCGCATGCATTTTTTGAAACCCCATGCATGTACAGATGTGTCAAAGATCTCTGCTGGGTCCCAACAGCCAGGCAGGGCCCTTCAGTAAATGTGAGCACGCATGAAATCAAGTGTGACATCATTCTAACCTAGGCGAGAAAGGAGGAAGTGCTGAACTGCAGCACAAAAAAGTAAAAAGAACTTAAAACATTTTTTAAAAGGAAATCTAAATGTAATGTTTAAAGTACTAGACTGTTATATCAGTATAACAGAATAAGATATAGTACATATCTGTGTGGCCTTCAGATATGTACTATTTTGTATTGCCAGTAATTAACATTTTCAGTAAGAATTCTAAAAATTATTCTTTGCACCTCTATCGTATAGGTGCTGTCTGTAGAGCCAGTGCTCAACAAGTAAGTATTATCTTATTATTATTATTGTTAAAGCATTTTTTTTTACAAAAGATGAATTAAAAGCAATGCATTGTGTTTTCTATATATTTTATCTAATATGTTCAGGCGTAGAGAATAATATTTTTCTATTTAGTACTAGTAGTATTTAGAGTAGTATCTCTGTCAATGGATATTCCATATTTTTTAGATTTTCTTCTTTAGATAGTGATGAAAGATGATGAATCCCCAGTATTACAGCATCATTACTCATCCTTCACAAAGAACACGTACAGGAACTGCAGGACTTCTTTACGTAATAATCATTTATTGGCCCTTATTTGTCTGTTCATTTTAGTATGACCATCTATACAACAACAATGAGCGCTGCTTTTCCTGAGGAATACTCCACTCAAATTAGGAATATAAAGTAAAGGTAGGATACTCATTTGTCATTCTGATTTCTAGCACTACTTAAGATGTTGGTTGTGATATATAAGGGTCTCCAAATGTTTCAGTGCACAGGTCATATACACTTATTGCCAACAGTATTGGGACACCCCTCCAAATCATTGGATTCAGGTGTTCCAATCACCTCCATGGCCCCAGGTGTATAAAATGAAGCACCTAGGCATGCAGACTGCTTCTACAAACATTTGTGAAAGAATGGGTCGCTCTCAGGAGTTCAGTTAACTCAAGCGTGGTTCCGTGATAGGTTGCCACCTGTGCAATAAGTCCATCCGTGAAGTTTCCTTGTTACTAAATATTCCATGGTCAACTGTTAGTGGTATTATAATGAAGTGGAAGCAACTGGGAACAACAGCAACTCTGCCACGAAGTGGTAGACCAAGTAAAATGATAGAGCTGGGTCAGCGCATGCTGAAGCATACAGTGCACAGAAGTCGCCAACTGTCTACAGAGTCAATAGCTAAAGACCACCAAACTTTGTGTGGCCTTCAGATTAGCACAACAGTGCAATAGAGAGCTTCATGGAATGGGTTTCCATGGCCAAGCAGCTGCATCCAAGCCTTACACCACCAAGTGCAATGGAAAGTGTCGGATGCAGTGGTGTAAAGCACGCCACCCCTGGACTCTGTAGCAGTGGAGATGTGTTCTCTGGAGTGACGAATAATGCTTCTCTGTCTGGCAGTCCGATGGATGTGTCTGGGTTTGGCAGTTGCAAGGGGAACATTACTTGCCTGACTGCATCGTGCCAAGTGGAGAGGGGATTATGGTGTGGGTTGTTTTTCAGGGGTTGGGATTGGCCCCTTAGTTCCAGTGAAGGGAACTCTTAGGGCGTCAGCATACCAAGACATTTTGGACAATTTCATGCTGCCAACTTTGTAGGAACATTTTTGGGGATGGCCCCTTCTTATTCCAACATGACTGTGCACCAGTGCACAAAGCAAGGTCCATAAAGACATGGATAACCAAGTTTGGGTTGGCGGAACTTGACTGGCCTACACAGAGTCCTGACCTCAACCTGGTATAACAGATTTGGGATGAATTAGAGTGGATATTGCGAGCCAGAACTACTCATCTGACATCATTGCCTAACCTCACAAATGTGCTTCTGGAAGAATGGTCAACCATTATCATAGACACACTCCTAAACCTTGTGGACAGCCTTCCCAGAAGAGTTGAAGCTGTTATAGCTGCAAAGGGTGGGCCAACTCAACATTGAACCCTACGGACTAAAACTGGAATGCCATTAAAGTTCATGTGCTTGTAAAGGCAGGCGTCCCAATACTGTTGGCAATATAGTGTATTTTACAAATATTGAAAAAAAATTCCCCCCTCACCAGAGTCCCCATCAGAGTTACCCCTAACATTAGAGTTTCCATCAGAGTGGCTCTTAAATCAGAGTCCCACTTATATCAGGTTTCCCATCACAGTCACCCTTTTGTATCAAGGTCCCCATCAGATTCCCCCTTTACATCAGGGTCCCCATCAGAGTTCCCCTTTACATCAGGAGGCCTATCAGAGTGCTCTTTACATCAGTGTCGCCTTACATCAGGTTCACCATCAGAGTCATCCTTTACATCAGAGTCCCCATCAGATCCCCCTTTACATCAGGGTCCCCATCAGATCCCCCCTTTACATCAGGGTCCCCATCAGAGCTCCCACTTATATCAGGGTCCGTATCAGAGTGCACCTTACATCAGAGTCCCCCTTACATCAGGTTCCCTATTAAAGTCTCTTTTATATCAGGGTCTCCATCAGATTTCCCCTTTACATCAGGGTCTCCATCAGATCCCCCATTTTACTTCAGGGACCCCATCAGAGCCCCCCTTACATCAGAAAGTGACCATAGGCAGTCTCTGCTGACCTTAATCCTCAATCAGTGTACATTGAGAATATGCCAGTGATCCTAGCTGGGGGACAGATAAAATGTTGCAGTGGGAAGTGTGTGGGTTGTGGGCAATAGTTTTGGAACCCCTAATATAGACAATCAATTTTGAGGGCTTATCTGACATGTTTTTGGCATGTTTGAATGAGGGGTTGAGTGCCCACATTTTCATTAGAACAGCTTAGTTTGTGTCACATGAACATCATTCTTCCTGTATCTTTTATTCCATTAGCAAAACAAATAGGAACTCCAGGCAAATATATAAAAGGTACTTAGACAGATTCAGGTACTAGCTACGAATGCATGACCTGAATCTGCAAATACCTGAATCTGTCTTCATATTCTCAAGGCACTAGACATGAGCTCTGCTGTTTTTCATGTGGGTGAAAATGCCTTCAAAGAGAAATGTACCAGTATATTGTATTTCCTTGATACATTTATGTTCTTGATATTTTTATTGTGTTCAGGACTAAGCAGTAATAAAAATACTTTTTTTCAAGTCTTTATTGCTCTCTAGTCAGCCCCTTGCAGCAAGCTGATGATACACTTGAGGATATTCTGCAGCCAATCACCAGCTGGTGAACTGTCCGAATATCCTGGGGGCTAGTCAGAGGAGGGAATAATATCTGAGGGATAGTCAGAGGAGGGGCCTGCAGCGTATTTACCACGAGGCAAACAAGGTGCTTGCGTGGGACGGCAATGTTTGGGGGGGCGGCACCAGCGCCTGCTCTTGTAGGACAGCAGCTTCCCTAACAAACTCATCCAAGCTCCCTGCTTCCCAAACCGACTCTCCTGCAGGTTCCCCACTCCTGCCCCTGCACACCGGGTCAATTCACCTGTCCTCAACAAGAGCAGGCCATCCGGCTCCGGCTGGCACATCCTTCATCTCCCTCCAGAGCCACTCCTCATCTAGAGCCCAGAGCCACCCTCATCACCACCAACATATAGTTATGGGGCATGGCATACCCAGCACACAAGAGATCCCACAGCGGGCAGGGTTTGTTGGTGAGCGGTGGTTGCAGGTGGCAGAGGGTGGTGGTTGCGGGGGTAGGTGGGGAGTCGGGATGCTGGTGGGGTGGGGGACACCCAATTTTAGAGTTGCCTAGGGCAGCACAAGGAATAAATACACCCCTGGGAGGGGCATCTCTTTCTCTGTTTCCTAGCTGATATGGATTAACAAGTTAAACAACATCAGTTATGCAGGCCATAGATGGGGAGAAAAACGGCAGATTTTCGGCCGATTAACGAACTATCGGTCGGTCTAAAAAACTTACCTGACCACCAATTATTACGAAAATCGGCCGATTAATGAGTAACCTATAACGGGAAATGATGTCATTTTGTGGCCTTTGTGATCCTTTTTCGGAAAACTATCGTTCGTTTTTGACCATCAATGAGGATAAAGTCGGGCGTTTTTCGAAAATTTTCCAACATCACCGATAATCTGAAAGTCCAAAATACACGAAAAACGGCCGACAAAATCGTCCACTAACGATAAGATAATCGGCCGGTTTTATTTTCGGACGAAAAATCGGCCGTTTTTCTCCCCATCTATGGCCTGCATTAGTTAATGGAATATTTAACCACCTCCCGCCCGCCATAGTCCAATGATGGGCACAAAGTGGTTCTCTCGTTCTGATAGGCCGTTTTTTGACGGCCTTCCATTCTCACCACGCATGCGCGACTCAGGGAGCGCGCAGCGCGGCGATCAGTGGTCTCTGTGCCCCTCGGACACAGCGGATCACCAATCCACGGAAAGAGCCAAAGATGTCGGCTCGGTAATGTAATCAGCTGTGTCCAGTCACAGCTGATCACATGTAAACATGGAAATTCCGGTTATCGGCATTTCTCTCCTCTCGAGCTGTCACGCTGACAGCTCGAGAGGAGAGGAGAGCCGGTAATCGGCATTCCGCGGAGGGGACATGTACACTGATCATCAGGGCACTGATGATCAGTGTGCCCTGATGATCAGTGTGGCCCAGAAGTGCCACGTGCCAGTGTCCATCAGTGCCACATCAATGCCACATATCAGTGCCTACCAGTGCACATCAATGCCACATATCAGTGCCCATCTTAGCTGCCCTTCAGTGTCACCCATCAGTGCGCATCAGTGCCGCCTATCAGTGCGCATCAGTGCTGCCTATCAGTGCCAGTCAGTGCCGCCTATCAGTGCTAGTCAGTGCCACCTAACAGTGCCAGTCAGTGCCACCTAACAGTGCCAGTCAGTGCCACCTATCAGTGCCATATATCAGTGCCATATATCAGTGCCATATATCAGTGCTGCCTTTCAGTGCCCATCAGTGATGCCTGTCAATGCCCAACAGTGCCACCTACCAGTGCCTCCTCATCAGTGCCACCTATCAGTGTCCATCAGTGCATCTTATCTGTGCCCATCACTACAGCCTCATTAGCGCACATCAGTGAAGCAGAAAAATCATTTATTTACAAAATTTTAAACCAAAAACTAAGAAAAAAAAATTTTTTTTTTCAAAATTTTTAGTGGTTTTTGGTTTGTTTAAGAAAAAATAAAAAACCCAGAAGTGATTAAATACCACCAAAATAAAGCTCTATCTGTCACAAAAAAATGATAAAAAAATTCATATGGGTACAGTGTTGCATGACCACGCAATTGTCATTCAAATGTGACAGCGCTGAGAGCTGGAAATTGGCCTGGGCAGGAAGGGAGTATAAGTGCCCTGTAGGTAAGCGGTTAAACACATTATAAAAATACCTTTTTGGGAGATGAATTTGTATCCGAAAAAATAAACATTTTAATTAGCTAAAGCCATGAAAATCTCCCTTTAATAAAGGTCCAAAACTTGGGGGGGCACTTGCCCCGGGTGCCACATCAGCAGGAGCGCCATGGGGGGTACCATCAGGTACCACTGCTCTACGTGCCACTTCCAACTCTAAAGGACAAGTGGCGCCCGCTGCAAAAACTGGAGACACAAGTAGGAGGGAGACCGTACAGCGCACCAGCCCTGAATCACTCCGCTGAGCAATGCTTCAGCTATTGATGCTGTGTTGCTAAGCAACAGTAGCTTAAGTGTCACTCAGGAATGCTTTTTTATGGGGCGGACAGACAGAATAATAAGTATCAATTTGATTTTGATTTTTTTTTATTTCTACAGAATCAAAAATCTGTGAAGATCCACCTGAAATCCTATGCATGATGGACATTTCACTATGATGTGCCATAAATAAACAACTCCTAAGTGCCCTATAGAGTCATGTACTACCAATTTCAAAAAAGTTCCATTGTTCTTGATCTGTTATTCTGCTCTTTACTTCTCCATGTTGCAATGTCTTTTCAGCTGTTTAGAAGTTTATCATTCATTATCTATATTCAACATCACATTTTCAATTTTTTCACATAGGAAAATACGATTCCAACCTATTACAAACTATTTTTCTCTATTTGCACTCCAACTCAAAAATGGGCACCTAATAGAAGATCAGAGATAGTGACCATGCTGTGAACCCAAAGTGGTAAAGGAGTAGTGTACAATTTCTTCTACAGCCTCCATCTTGGGGAAAATTAATTACTCTACATTCTCTGTCAGAAGAAAAATGCCTGTTGCCCAGAGTAACAAATATACATCTTAAGACTCTGCTGCCTTTCCTGCAAGCCTGATTTTTGCATTTAGCTGACATGGTAAAAG